AGATTTTTTTTTTGACCATTGTGAATGCGATGGTCTGATGGGCTTTCTTCTGTTCTGTATAACTCAATGACTTTGGCTCTAAATTAACTTCAAAGAGAACATGATTAAAATCCAGGATGAGGCCACAGGACATGTGGAGGAAGCGTTCAGCATAGCCTTTGGTTAATTTGCTGTGTGTAGTGCTGAAATATACAATTCCACCATGCAATAAGATGGTATGCTATTTGTTAATGGATCACCTATTATTTTTGCTCTAAAGTATGCAAAAAGTACCATGCAATGACCAGATCTAACAAGTGAGTCTAACCACTTCTCTAAAACATTTGACTTAGTCAGCACAATTCCTCACAAAGATGATTAATCTCCATTTGTTGTTTCAACTAACATTTGATTGTAATTGATCTTGATTGTTGACAGTAGGCTAAGATATGTATTGGAATAAGTGCTGACTAAGTATGCATTTTTTTTTAAATGTCTGAAAGAACTGCAGATGCTATAAATCAGAAACAAAAACAAATTGCTTGAAAAACTCAGCAGGCCTGACAGCATCTGTGAAGAGAAAGCAGAGTCAATGTTTCAGGTCCAGTGGTCCTCCTTCAGAACTGTATCTTTTCTTAATACATTCACAGGATTTAGGTGTCACTGGCTAGACCAGCATTTATTACCCATCCCTAATTGCCCAGTTAAGTGTCAACCACATAGGTAGACTTATACAATAAATGCTAAGGTCCTGAGAAATGTTGTGGAGCAGAGGGACCTAGGAGTAAAAGTAAATAGTTTGTTGAAAGTAGCATCACAGGTGGACAGGGTGGTGAAGAAGGCATTTAGCATGCTGGCTTCATCATTTGAAGTATTGAGTATAGGAATTGGTATGTTATGTTACAGTTGTATAAGTTGTTGGTGAGGCCACACTTGGAATATTATGTACAGTTTTGGTCCCCCTGTTACAGGAAAGACATAGTTAAACTGGAAAATTTGCTAAGAAGATTTTCGAGGATGTTGCCAAGACTAGTAGGCCTGAGTTATAGGGAGAAGTTAGCCAAGATAGGACTTTATTCCTTGGAATGTGGGAGAATGAGGGGTGACCTTATTGAGGTGTATAAAATCATGAGGGGCGTAGATAGGATGAATGCATGTAGTCTCTTTCTCAGGGATGGGGAATTGAAAACTAGAGAGCATAGGTTTAAGGTGAGAAGGGAAAGATTTTAAGAACAACCTGAGGGGCAACTTCTTCATGCAGAGAATGGTGCATACTTGGAATGGACTGCCAGAGAAAGTGGTTGAGGCAGATACAATAGCAGCATGCAAAAAACATTTGGATAGGTACATGGATGGGAAGGGTTTAGATGGATATGGACCAAATGCAGGCAATTGGAACTAGCTGAGTGGGCACCATGGTCAGCATGGACCAGTTCGGGCCAAACAGCCTGTTTCCATGCTGTATTGCTCTATGACACATTGTTGTGCGTCTGGAATCGCATGGGCCAGACCAGGTAAGGATTCCTTCCCTAAAGGGCATGAGTGAACCAGCTGGGTTTCATGGTCACCATTGGAATCCTAATTCCAGATACTTAAATTTGAATTCAAATTTCACCATTTGCCATGGCAGGATTTGAACTCAAGTCCCAGAACTTTACCAGGATCTCTGGTTTAATCGTCTCACGATACTAACACTAGGCCGTCACCTCCCATTGTCCATATCTGTAATGCTGCATAACTTTTCATAGTCCTCAACAGATGAATAGTTTAAAAAAAAATCTTTTCAAGAAGAGGATAAAATATGACGAGATATTATTAATGGAGATGTTAGAATTCAAAAAGAAGGTATTAAAAATACTAGCATAAAGACACTTTACCTGAATGCTCATAGCATTTGAAACAAGGTGGATGAGTTAATGGCACAAATCATCACCAATGAGTATGATTTAGTAGCCATTATAGAGACGTGGTTGCAGGATGGTCACGACCGGGAACTAAACATTCAGAAGTATCAGACTATTCAGAAGGACAGACAGGAAGGTAAGGGAGGTGGTGTAGCTCTAAAATGTAAGGATGACATCAGGATGGCAGTGAGAGATGATGTAGGTTCTATGGCGAATAAGGTTGAATCCATTTGAATAGAAATTAGAAATTCTGAGAAGAAAATGTCACTGATAGACATAATCTATAGGCCACCAAATAATAACATCACGTTGGGGTGGGCAATAAACAAAGAAATAACTAATGCCTGTAAAAATGGTACAGCAGTTATCTTGGGGGATTTTAATCTACATGGCAATTGGTTGAACCAGATCGGTCAAGGCAGCCTTGAAAAGGAGTTAATTGAATGTATCCGAAATTAGTTTTCCTTGAACAGTATGTAATGGAACCGATGAGGGAGCAAGCTATCCTAGATCTGGTCCTGTGTAATGAGACAGGAATAATCAATGATCTCATAGTTAGGGATCCGCTTGGAAGGAGCAATCACAGTATGGTTGAATTTAGAATACAGATTGAAAGTAAGAAGATAAAATCCAATACCAGGATCCTGTGCCTAAACAAAGGAGCTTATAATAGGATGAGGACTTCGAAAGCAACTTTTCAAAGTGCTCAGCAAAAGTATAAAGCAGTGAAAAGTAAGCACTGGAGAAAAAGAGGTAATCAGCCATGGATGTCTGAGGAAATAAGGGAGGCTATCAAATTGAAAAATAAGGCATTCAAAATTGCAAAGACCAGTGGGAAACTAGAAGTTTGGGAAAACTTTTAAGTTCAACAGAAAGCCACAAAAAATGCTATAAAGAAAAGTAAGATAGATTATGAGAGCAAACTAGCTCAGAATATAGACAGATGGCAAAAGTTTCAACAAATATATAAAATGAAAAGGAGTGGCTAACATAAACGTTCCTCCTTTAGAGGATAAGAAAGGGATTCAATAACGGGAAATGAGGAAATAGCCGAGGCGTTGAACAGGTATTTTGTGTCGGTCTTCACAGTGAGGACACAAATAACATGTCAGTAATTGATGACAAGGAGACTATGGTAAGTGAGGACCTAGAGACAACCATTATCCCAAAGAGGTAGTGTTGGGCAAGCTAACGGAGCTAAAGGTAGGCAAGTCTCCTGGTCTTGTTGGAATGCATCTCAGGCTACTAAAAGAGATGGCGGGAGAAAAAGCAAATGCACTCGTGGTAATTTTCCAAAATTCACTGGACTCTGGGGCAGTTCCAGCAGATTGGAAAACAGCTAATGTTACACTGCTATTTAAAAAAGGAGGTAGACAAAAGATGGGGAATTATAGGCCAGTTAGCTTAACCTCTGTAGTGGGGAAAATGCTTGAATCTGTCATCAAGGAAAAAATAGCAAAACATCTTGATAGAAATTGTCCCATCGGGCAGATGGAACATGGGTTCATGAGGGGCAGGTCATGTTTAACTAATTTACTGGAATTCTATGAAGACATTACGAGCGTGGTGGACAATGGCGACCCAGTAGATGTGGTGTATCGAGATTTCCAAAAGGCATTCGACAAGGTGCCGCACAAAAGGCTGCTGCATAAGGTATAGGAGCATGGCATGACAGGCAGTGTATTGGCATGGATAGAGGATTGTTTAACTAACAGGAAGCAGAGTGGGGATAAATGAGTGCTTTTCTGATTGGCGATTAGTGACTAGTGGTGTGCCCCAGTGATCAGTGTTGGGACTGCAATTGTTTACAACTTACTTAGATGATTTGGAGTTGGGGACCACGTGTAGTGTGTCAAAGTTTGCGAATTACACTAAGATGAGTGATAGAGCAAAGTGTGCAGAGGAAAGTTTGCAGAGAGATATCGATAGTTTAAGTGAGTGGACAAAGGTCTGGCAGATGGAGTACAATGTAGATAAATGTGAAGTCATCCATTTTGGTTGGAATAACAGTAAAAAGGACTATTATTAGAACAGTAAAATATCGCAGCATGGTGCTGTGCAGCAGCACGTGGATGTCGTTGTGCATGAATCGCAGAAGGTTGGTTTGCAGGTGTAACAGTTAATTAAGAAGGCAAATGGAATTTTGCCCTTCATTGCTGGAGGGATTGAGTTTAAAAGCAGGGAAGTTGTGTTCCAGCTGTATATGGTGCTGGTGAGGCCACACCTAGAGTATTGTGTGCAGTTTTGGTCTTACTTGAGAAAGGATGTACTGGCACTGGAGGGGGTGCAGAGGAGATTCACTGGGTTGATTCTGGAGTTGAGAGGATTGGCTTATGAGGAGAGACTGAGTAGACTGGGATTATATTTATTGGAACTTAGAAGAATGAGGGGGAATCTTAGAGAAACATATAAAGTTATGAAGGGAATAGATAATATAGAAGCAAGGAGGATGTTTCCACTGACAGGTGAAACTAGAACTGGGGGGCATAGCCTCAAAATTAGGGGCAGCAGATTTATGACTGAGTTGAGGAAAAACTTCTTCTCCCAAAGGATTTTGAATCTGTGGAATTCCCTTCCCAGTGAAGTAGTTGAGGCTTCTGCATTGAATGTTTTTTGAAGCTAAGATAATTTTTTTGAACAGTAAAAGAATTAAGGGTTATAGTGAGAGAGTGGGTAAGTGGAACTGAGGCCACAAAAAGATCAGCCATGATCTTATTGAATGGTGAGGTGGGCTCAAAGGGCCCGATGGCCTACTCGTGTTCCTGGTTCTTATGTTCTTGACATACTAACTTTTAACAGTGAATTTTGTAGCCTACTCAAATACTGAAACCATGTTTTCTGGTTTCTTGAATGGAATTTAGAAAATAGCTACAAAATTTAATTGATAGATCATGTTTTTGTTGCAACTTTCCCAAAGTTATGGAGCTGAAATGAAGTGGTTTCTTTTACCATGTAACTCTGGTAAAACGGGATTCTATACTAATGAAATCACGCAAGTTGAAGTAATTATTATTAGAATTCTGATTTTAAGAATTCTGTTCACTTGCAGAAAAATGTACTTTGATAATTCAACTTTATAAATTTCCTCTTCTGAAATTTGGTGTCTTGTTTATTCAGGTTAAACGCACATTTTGAGACATCCTTGGAAGGCTCAATTTCACGACTCGATCTTTACTCTGAATATCTTGCTGTGTGCAGTAAATTAGCTAGGGGTGGAATTCTAACATCAACAGGATTTAACAAATGTCTGAGGTAAGTTGAACTAATTCAAGAAAGAAAAATCTATTTCCCATCAAGCAACCCCATCCTCACTACTATCATTGACCTATTTTAAGGACTGAGTATTTTTTTGGTGGAGTGGAGGTGATATGGAATGAAGACCCTTAAATAACTCGTGAACGGCAGCAAAATGTTCACATTGTTGGTGACACTCATCCTAAGAATATTAACTACATCTTTTGTAAGACTTGTTCTTGCCATTTTTCAATTGATTCTCTGACTTGGTTTCTGTGAGACCCAATTCTAACAAGATCTTGTCAGCATTAGGAAGACAATCTCTGACATTTCTGTTTTTCCTGTGGTGAAATGTAGCCTCTGCTTGTCACTGTTGAGCTTATGTCTAAACCCTGCCCGCCCCTTGCTGTAGTTGTCTGAATTAGGTATTAATGCTTCTCTGTAAAAAATGAATTTGGAAGAAATCTGTCACAGTATCCCAAAATAGTCCATTCTGAATTTGTAAAGCAACAGTTGCATTGTTCAACCTGAATAGCTTTCAGCTAAAATACTGAATTGGTTGCTTACAAAACTTGACATGTTTTCTTTTTTTTTTGTTTGCAAGGACTCTGTTTCCAACCTATACAGTAAGACGAATTGAAGATCCCAATAATAGCGGGCAAGCACAAATACACATAGTAGGTATCCAAAGAAGGGCTACACCACTTCCCATGCAGTCACACTACCAGCAATCACCAACAGTTCCCTCCGTTATGGCAGAGATAACACGGAATACATCTCCCTCAGGTAAGTTGCTTATTAATGAATCTAAATGTGTTAACCTATCAGATCAATGAGAAAAATCCCACACTTGGGCATTCCTGCAGCAATTTTGAATAAATAAATAATGCCAAAGAAATTATGGAACTAAGAGTTGGTGAATCCTCTGGATCTGATGACCAAGGGATTAAACATGTCTGCAGACTCTCCAGTGCAAAGAGAGAGTTGGAGCATTGATTTTGATCTTTCAGAATTCCTTAGATTTAAAGATAGGTCCATTGGATTGGAATTTAGTACATTGAACTCTGCTTTTCAATACAAAAGGAGGGAAGCCTTGGATATATCCCACTTATGGGACTATGTTCTCTTTTTTGGTCATCTTACCCAAGAAAGATGTACTTGCCTTGAAGGGAGTCACTGCACTGGTTTCTTGTGTGATGGCCTTATCCTCTAGGGAGAGATTGAATAGACTGTGGGGAATACGAGAGGTCATCTCATTGGGTCTCAACGCTGAAGAGGAATGGGCGAGGTGAGGACTTTGTGACTGGGAGCAGAGTCCAAGGTGACAGTAAGCTTTTAAAGTAAGTTTATATTTATTATGACTGTATTGAATGTAGATATGTTAATATTGATAAGGGACAACCAGTAGACATGGTGCATTTGGATTTTCATCAGGCTTTTGGTAAGATCTCTCAAAACGTGAGGCAAAGTTAAGGCGCATGAGATGGGGGGGCAATACCTTGGCATGGATTGAGAATTAGTTGACAGACGGAACAGAGTGTAAATAAATGGGTCATTTTCCAAGTGGCAAGCAGTGACTTGAGGTACCACAAGGATCAGTGCTTGGGCACCTGTTATTCACGGTATATGTAAATAGGCTCAATGAGGGAGCCAGTTACAACATTTCCAAGCTTGGTGATGACACAAGACTGGGTGAGATTCTGAGTTGTGAGGAGGATGCAAGGAGCCTTCAAGGTGTCGTAAAAAAGTTGAATGAGTGGACAAACGTAGAGGCAATACAGTGTCGCTAAATGTGAAATTACTTCAATGTGAAAAACAGGAAGGAAGAGTATTATTTAATGGCGATATATTAGCAAGTGTATAAAGAGGCTTGCGTGTCCTTGTACGTCAGTGAAAGCAAGTAAACAGGTAGGTGCAACAAACAATTAGGAAGGTAAATAGTATATTGGCTTTCATTTCAAGAGGATTTCAGTTCAGAAGTGAGGATGTCTTACTGCAGTTATGCAGGGTCTTGGTGAGACCACACCTGGAGTATTGTGTGCAGTTTTAGTCTCCCTACCTAAGAGAGGATTTTTTTTTTTTTTCCTTTATTCATTCATGGGATGAGGGCGTCACTGGCTAGGCATTTATTACTCATCCCTAATTGCCCAGAGGGCAGTTCAGAGTCAACCACATTGCTGTGGATCTGGAGTCACATGTAGACCAGACCATGTAAGATGGCAGTTTTCTTCCCTAAAGGACATTAGTGAACCAGATGGGTTTTTCCAACAATTGGCAATGGATTTATGGTCATCATTAGACTCTTAATTCCAGATATTTATTGAAATCAAATTTCACCATTTGCCTTGGTGGGATTCGAACCCCGGTCCCCAGAGCATTATCTGGTCTCTGGATTAACAGTCCAGCAATAATACCACTAGGCCATCACCTCCCCACTGATATGCATGCAATAGAGGCGGTGCAGCAAAGCTTCGCTGGGTCGATACCAGGGATGGCAAGACTTTCCTTTTGAGGAGAGAATGGTTTAACTAGGCCTACGTTCTCTAGAAGGATGAGAGGGAAGCTGTTTCAATCTAGCAATTGATGTTGGGTAGACGAGATGAAGGGAGGATGTTTTGCCTGGTTGGGGATCCTTGAACAAGGGGATGCCAACTCAGGATACAGGGTTGACCCTTTAGGACTGAGATGACGAAACATCTGTTCACTCAGAGGGCAGGGAACCTGTGGAATTCTCTTATCTCTGAAGGCTGTGGATGTTAAGTCACTGAATATATTCAAGAAATTTTTTTTAGGTTTTAAAGGCATCAAGAGGTAGGGGGAGAAAACCAGAATATGGCATTGAGATTGAAAATCAGCTGCGATCATATTAAAAATTGGAGCAGACTTGAAGGGTTGAATGGCCTAATCCTGCTTCTCGTTTCTATGAATCTGGGATGGCAGGTCAGCGTGCTCAAGTGGAATGCGCATTGGACATGCATGTGACCCAGACAAAGTATTCTGGAGGAAATATGACAGGTGACATAATCTTGAGCTCTGGATTTTGGAACTTGATCAACAGCTGGAGTTACTGTTGTACACCTGCACTACAGATGACTGCATATAAAGAAAGGTGGCCACACTGCACGACACCAGGTTACGGTCCAACAGGTTTATTTGAAATCACAAGCTTTCGGAGCACAACCCCTTTGTCAGGTGCACTGCAGATTAGAAGTATACATGCAGAGAGGGCATGAATGACTACCCAGCGGTCTAATAAAATCAGGTTTGTTGTACAAGGCAAATTGGAGCAAATTGGACCTGCACAAGCTGGGGTGGATTATGTTTCAGCAGGACTGGGACTGATGCCCTCGCAGGGAAATTTACTGGTCCTGTTGGGGTTGGTTTAAACTAGCTTGTCAAGGGGATGGGAACCTGAGGGGTAACTCAAATTGGAAGGGAGTTATGCTGGCAACGCAAAGTAGGAAAGCTGCGAGAGAAACTAGAAGACAGGAGAAACAAAACTAGACATCAAGAGTGCCTAAAGGAGAAATGATGTCAAAAAGATAAAATTAAGGACACTCTACCCGAATGCGCACACCACTTGTAATAAGGTCAATGATTTAAAGGTACGAATAGAGGTAAATGGCTTTGAAATGATTACCATGACAGAAATATCACTGCTTGGTGACCAGGACTGGAAACTAAATATTCAAAGATATTCGATGTTTAGGAAGGACAGATGAAAAGGAAAAGGAGGTGAAATTGTGCTGGTAATGAGATGAGATCAGTACATTAATAAAGGAGGATCTCAGAATGGAAGAAAAATGTGGAATCTGTTTGGTTGGAGCTAAGAAGCAGCAAGGGGCAGCATTTGTTATTGCCACCAAGTAATAAGCCACCAAATGATAGTGGTAATATGGAGAATTCTGAGGAAGGGTCACCAGACCCAAAACGTTAACACTCTGATTTTTTTTTTTCTTCACAGATGCTGCTAGACCTGCTGAGCTTTTCAAGCAAATTCTGTTTTGTTGTGGTAGTATGGAGCCTGGGATAAATTGGGATTTGAGAAGCTTGTAGCCTGTGCAGCACAGTAATCATGAGTGTCTCCAATCTGTACCTAGACTGAAGGATGAGTTTCCAGGGTGTCTATGGAATGGTGTTCTATCGCAGCATTTTGAAGAACTGATTAGAGGACCATGCTATCTTGGATCTAGTATTATGTAAAGAGAAAAGTCTAATTAATAATCTCATAAAAGTACCTTTTGGGATGAATGTCTACAATATGATAGAATTTTACATTGTTTGAAAATGAGCTGGTTCAATTTGAAACAAGGGTGTTAAATGTGAATAAGGGAAATAACGAAAGCAAGTTGGCTGAGGTGGATTTGGAAGATATATTAAAAGGCATGATTGTACACAGACAATGGCTGGTCTTTAAAGTACTATTACCTGACTTGTAGCAACCATACATTCTGTCAAGTTGCAAAATTTCTTAAAAGGTCAGTCAACCAGGATTAACAGAGGATGTTGAAGGACTATATAAGATTTTGAAGAAAAGACTTGTAGAGCAGCTAAAAATAGTAATAAGTCTGAGGGTTGGGAAGATTATAGAATACAACAAAGAAGAGCCAAGAGACTGATAAGGAAAGGAAGAATTGAATGCCAATACAATCTAGCAAAAAATCTAAAAAGGGACTGTAAATGCTTTTATAGGTACACTTGAAGGAGATATTTGGCTAAGGCAGGTGTGGTTCCCTTAAAAGCATAGTCAGGAGAATTTATAATGGAGAATAGAGAAATAAGAGAGAAGCTAAACAACCACTTTGTGTATGTTTTCACTGAGAAAGATGCAAGAAATCTCCCAGAGTTAGAGTTGCAAGTGACTGAGGAGAATAATGAGCTGAAGGAAATCCATCTTGCTAAGAAAGATGTACAGGAGAAGTTAATGGGGCTGCAAGTTGATACTTTCCCAGGATCTGAGAGTCTACATTCTAGAGTGTTGAAGTATGTCTTTAGAGATGGTTAATGCATTGATAATCATCAATCAAAATCTCATCAATTCTAGAATGATTCTTGCAGACTGGAAGCTTGTAAATATCACCCCACTATGTAAGAAAGGAGCCGGGGCCGAAGAAAGGGAACTACAGATCTGTCAACTGTACATAAGTAACAAAGAAAATGCTAGAATTTCACATAAAGGATATGATAAATGGATATTTGGATAAAAATGATCTGACTGGCTTTGCTCGGATTTGTGAATGGAAAATCGTGTTTGACAACTTGTTGGCAATTATTGAGGATGTGACTAACAAAATTGATAGAGTGAATGGATATAATATACTTGCATTTTCTTAAGGTTTTTTGATCAGGTTCCCTATAGGAAGTTGGTTAGCAAAATTACTGCACGTGGTAGAGAAAGTGGTGGACTAAGGCTTGGTTAGCAGACAGAAAGCAGAATAGGAATAAATGGGTCTTATCATGTAGGTAGGTTATAAATAGTCGGGTATTGCACAAATCAGTACTTGGGTCCCAGCTGTTGACAATATTCATTAATGCTTTGGATGTGGGACCAAATGTAATATTTCAAGATTGCAGATGATGCAAAGCCAAGCAGGAATGTGAGATAAGGACGATCTAAGATGTGATATAATGTAGGAAAATGTGAGGTTATCCACTTTGATAGGAAGAAAAAATGTACAAAGTATTTGTTAAATGGTGAGCGGTTAGAGAGTGTAGATATGCAATAGGACTGAGTTGTCCTTGTCAATAAGATCCTGAAGGCTGACAGGCTGCTCCAGCATGCTATT